GAGGGATGTTGTAATACTCTTTCCCAGCGGGTGCAGCTCCCCCCACCAATGGGTTGCAGTCAACTCCAAGCCGCTTTTCCAGCAGGTGCAGCTCCCCTCACCAATGGAATGCAGCCGTCTATGAGCAAGGCCTACTCAGCCGTGATCAGGATGCTCTAATGATCTCACAGTTGACGCTTCCGTCACTGACGTTTCTGCTCCTATAAGAAAAAAAGGAGGAGGAGATCCTGGTTGGGAGGAGAAAATACAGGAAAAACAATATAATGGTATGTCGGATGGACAGTCCATCAGCACTCCCGATTGCACTACTTTCTTTCTTCTTTTTCTTTAAGCCACCAGTACTTGGCCCAGCTATCAAGTCCGAGCCTCCAGCGACCGGTATGTCGAGCCTGCCAAGCCTGGCAGTACCAGAAGCTGGACCAGTTGGAAAACAAAAACAGCAAAAAAAAAACAAAAAAAAAACGCTTCGTGAATGCAGTTGGATGCATTCTCCCGAGTGCTAAACTAGGGGCCTCCCGCACGGCACACGAAACGAAAACGAAACGAGTGCATCTGCCCACCAAAGGTGGCAAAATACACTCGTTACTATTTATAGCAAACCGATGAACCTGGCCATTTTCCGAGGGAAGATACATTCGTTTCGTTTTTCGTTTCGTGTGCCGTGTGGCGACGCCCAAGTGTGAGCACGTCGCAGTTTGGGTGTATCAGCCCCGTGGCGTTTTCGTCAGAATCCAAAAGTAAAAAAAGGGAGAAAAAAACAAAGAAACGAATCTCAAAGAAGAAAAGCAAAAAAAAACAGGGATTTGTTACTGAAATTAGCTAGATACATTTGTCTGTGTGCAAGTGTGAGTATGCCCTCAATTAGGGCTGTTCAGTAGATCATGGGATATGCCCTGCCTCGCTGGCAGGGGAATCTAAGAAAAATGGAAAAAAAACAAAAGCGGAAAAAAACGACATCCAGAATCTAACTGAAATACTAGTTAGAAGCATTCCACCAAGAACCTAAGTGACCACTACCCCGGCCCAACTTAGATTTTTTTTTTTTTTTTTTTTTTTTTTGGAGAAACAAGCCCTTTTCATTCCAAATGAGACCACCGGGGCCCGGGAACACACCCCTACATATCAACCCACTACAAGCTTGCTGAGGTCATACTCAGCTTAGGCTCCTGGAAACCGGGTCCAGTGTCCCTTGAAGGAATCTCCAAAAAAGAAAAATGCAAAGCAAATTTAAGACAGTACAATATCCTTGCTACTCAGGAAAACACCGGCATGTTTCTAAAATCGAAACATTAATGGCAAAGAACTACGAGCTATAAACCACAAATCTCGAAAGTGCACAAAGCAATTCACTAAAATTGTTTCCAAGAGCATGCTAAATTCTTAGATGCAGAACAATTCTAAAGTTCAGTCCAAGTGCGTACTAAACTAATCTTAACCGAGTTGAAACTTAGCGTATTAATATTGTCTACAGAAAACAGATGATTGAAAACAGCCAAGAGAACGGCTACATATAGAGAATCCAAGGGAATTCAAAAGGAGGGAGAGATGGATAACCGCCCCCGCAGAATACACGAGTGGGGAGGATATGAGCCGGGTTTTCCAGATGGCACAAAGTCGAGTGGAAGACACTCCCCACACCGCTCAAGGCATGGGTGTTACATCTTCGACGCCACACGGGTCCTACCGGACCCGACTTAGGGCTAGAGGGACACATCAGGGCCTAAAGGCCCGACCTTGGGGGTACTACAGGCCATAAAGGCCTCACCGTGGACCAGACCCGACGGGCAGGCCCAAACGACATTACCGTTTGGGCCTGGCGGCGCTCTTGAGGCTGCCGCCCGCCGGTTGGGGCTGAACCGTCCATCTGGACGGTTCAGGGCACGGCCAGGCCTCGCAGCATTGAGGCCGGCCTCTGCCCCACCGGTATATAGAACCGGTCCAGCCTCAGTCCAGCATCGACCTACCGGCATTCTACCGGTACGGTATGGTACAGCACGATACAGCGCTGGCGCTAAGATTAGCGCAGGAGCAGCGAGGAACAGCGCAGCGCAGATTAGCGCAGCAGCGGCGACTGGGTTACCGGCGGCCATAGCCGCCTAAGGTACTGGGAGTTGGAGGCTTCTCTCCTCCCTCCCATCGCCAGTCCCCTCTCTCTCTCTCTCCTCCCCGGCTCCTTCTTCTTCTTCTTCTTCTTCTTCTTCTTCTTCTTCTTCTTCTTCTTCTTCTTCTTCTTCTTCTTCAGATTGGAGACTTATACTAGTT